CCTGGCTTAATTTCCGACAGGTGGAATCACTGGACTCTATGCCCAGACTCCAGGCATGTTTGGGGAAGACATGGCCCTGAGGCCTTTGGGTGGAACAGGATTTGGTGGGGAGTTCAGCCTGTCTATACTTCCTCCTGTACACAAACCCTCCTAAAGCTCTCGGTGTGTATTGTTAATTATTAACCCTGGGCAAACACAGCCCAGAGCTCTGGTGTATTTCTCACAGCCTGTGAAGAGGACATGCTGAAGATGAAATGGGGTGGGACAATGGAACATGAAGGGTTCACAGGGACACTGAGAATTTGGACTTGTGAGTGACTGACAGGTTGTTCTGATGTTGTCTTCACAGTGATTGTTCCTGACTCTTGTTCTGTAGTGTGAAGACAGCTGCCTGGTGTGCACACAGTGACAGAACCCGTGTTCAGGCCTCTCCTGTGACATCCAAAGCCCCTCAGTTCACTCTCAGCAACCATTTCTCGTGTTCCCTGTGGTCCTATGGGTTCAATGTGACAAACTGGTGAGCCCAGCCCAGCCCATGCCTGCACACCAGGTCCCTGTCACTACACTGCCCTGTGTTCTACTCCACAACCACCCTTACTTATTCAGCAAACTGGAGGGGACATCTCCATCCTGTCACCTCCATGCTGCCCTGAGCTGCAGCTCATGACTTCCTCACTGAAAATAATAGTCTGAATATGAACTTGATGGTTCAAACTCTTCACCTGAGGTTTGATTGGTGGATAAATTTTTCTGGGGAAAATACATGGCAGCATGGAGAACCTTCTGGAATCTGTGTTCACTGTGCTGTGTGTATGCAGTGAGACAGGATGAAGCAGAGGGAACTGAGTGTGAGCAGGGCTGTGCACAGCTGGTGCTGAGTGTGTTGTGGGCTTTGATGTGGTCACTCCTCGTCTCTGCCACGTGCTGGCTCTGGTCTTCTCTTTACTCAGTGGGCCCACATGCTGACAGTGGCTGTGAGCAGCATGACCAGAGCCTTGTCCTGTCCCTAGGATTAGGAGAATCCAGGGCAGCTGTGACAGGTCATCCCGGCTCCATCTGGGCTGCAGCTCTCCTACCTAGTTTATGTGAAGGACTAGGTCTGTTCTCATTCAGATGGTGCTGGTGTCCTTCTTCTGTGGGGTCCCAGGATGTGCCAGCTTGGGGATCAGGGTCTAGACACACCACCCTGGGTGGATAGGAAGAAGGTTCCTCTTACTTCTCTGAGAGGAAAGCTGTAATAAAAGCCATTGCACATCTTTAATCCCAGCCCTTGGAAGGCAGAAACAGGTTAAACTGTAATTTTTGGGACAATTTGGTCGTAGTGACTTCCAGAACAGAGCCAGAGCCACATAAGTATATCCTGTGTGAAAACAGAAACAAACAAACATAATAAAACAAAACAACAAAGCCACTACAGCTCCAGGAAGTCTTTCCGAGGGTTCCCCACCTTGATACCCTGAGGATGGGGAGGGACTGGAGCACTAAAATCCTCTGGCCCAACCACACATGGGAAGAGACAAAGGGAGTGAGTGTGGCTGAGAAGTGACTACAGTTAGGTAGGTAGGGGTGAGGAGGTAAGGGGCATCTGTAAGGTTTGGTGACTAGAAAGCAACAACAGGTTATAGCTTTCAGACAGCTGGAAGGCAAGATCCTACATGTTTTTGCCACAGAAAGTACACACTGTTGGGGAAGCCCTGTGTATGTCAATAAAGCACTGTTGGCCAATAGGGAAGCAAGATAGATGGGACTAGGAGTCAAGGAGGAATCTGGGAAAGAGAGGCAGAGGCAGAGACAATGCAGCCTCCAGAGAAATAAGAGGTCCGGATCCTTTCTCTGGTAAGAGAAATACCTAGATTAACAATTATGATTTAAATACGTAAGTCAGAGATAGCCAGTAAGAAACCAAGCAAACAGCCAATAGCTTCATAATTAATATAGCCTCCTGTGTGTTTATTTGGGACTGATGCGGCTCTGGAACCAGGCTGGTGGGAAGGCTTCGCCCTACAATGCACCTTTGAGGAGAGGTGCTCATTCCCATTTATCATGTACACATCTGGAAGCATCACAGGATGACAGTCCGGGAAAAGGTACAACTCCCACGTTTGCTTCAGTATTTACTGAGGAACCTGGGCAAAGGGCTGCTGACCTCCAATGGAGCCACCAGCTCCAGTTTGCCCAGGCAACACCTATGCAGTGAAAACCGCAGCAGGAGATTGGGCAGCCTTGGGGCAGACCAGGCACCAGGAGGTAAAGGAGGTGCAGGGCAGCCCCAGGACTGCCATTGGGTCCCAGAGGCTGCCAGGGTTTTGGCCCTGGCTGTGGCAGTTCACATTTCCAGGATCCTGATCCTTCCCACCAGGACCCCAGTCTGAAGCTTAGGTCCTAGTGGCTCCCAGAGGGCTTGCTTGGCTACTAGGGCTGGGGACAGATTGGGCAGAGGACTAGGAGGGACCAGCATGGCGTGTCCCACCACCTGACACTTAAACCTGTGGGCCTTGGACTTGGGGCCCTGGAGCAAGATCCCCGCTTTAGTCCTCCACCAAGAAGCCATCAAGAAATGAGGAACTGTTGCTGCCCGGCTCAGGTGAGCAGCAGGAGCAGATGGCTCAGTCAGCTCTGAGTTCCTGAGCTCACTGGAGGCTGAGCTGTTGCCCTTGTTGGAGCACTGGCAGGACAACCAGAAGCCCTGCCCTCTGGAGTTGCTTGAAGCAGTGTTTTGGTCCACAGAATTCTGGACTGAACTGGAGAGGACACAGCCTCATGGTTCTGGGTGGGAGGAGACAAGCTTTGCTGTGAGTTCTTATGTTGGAGCCCTGTGCTTTCTCAATGCAGTCATCACTCAGAGTGAGGCCAGCAGCACCACGACCTGATGGACAGCATCGGTGTCACCGGGGTCTTGCTCTTCCTGGCTCGTGGGGACTCATCACCAAGGTCCCCTGATCCTGTGTAACAGGGCTGCTCTAGGCAACACCTACCCTCCACTCTGCCAGGAGCTGACCCCAGACTGGCGCTCAGCTGCCAGGACAACCAGAATCCATTCCAAGTTGCCTGCTGTGCTTGGGCGGCAACACCTGCATCCAGAGCCTAAACTGCCATCTCATGGACCGGATGCAGGAGCTGCCAAGGCGGTAGTTGCACAAGCCCCACCCCCACACCACAACCCCACCTGCCACTGTGGCTTCAGCTTGTCCCACATTTTGCTGAGCCAGCAGCTCACAGCCAGGGAGGACCAGGACCACCTAGAACTGCCTGGTACAGGATGGAGTTCATCACAGGCACAAGGACAATCCAGGGGACCTGAGAGTCTCCATTCCCTGGTCTGCATAAGACCCAAGCCAAAGGACACTTCCCTCACTCTTTTTGGATTTAGTTTGATGTGGACCTGGGGGAACCTTGGATGGTTTCTCCAGTAAGAATATCTACTAAATTCATCCTCAGTAGCTTTCCATCCCTAGGTCCCAGCAATTTCAGCAAGGAATATGTCCCTGAGATTCCATGGCAGGCTACAAGCACCTTTGCTCCTAAAAAGCCTAGAGGGAACCACCTAACCAGCAAAAGGCCATCAACAGCCCACCTTGTGCAGTGCAGTCTGCAGGGTGCTGAGTCTCACAGGGCCTCCAGCTGCAGGAGCTGGTCTTGGACACCAAGAGCCCAGGAGACTCTGAGGACTTGTAGCTGTCCCAGAGGAGCTGAGGTCAAAGTTGACAGCAGGGAGGACTTCACCTCTTGTCACCTGGCTGCCTTCTTGGTGCCTTTCCTCATCAACTCTCAGCTCTCCATGGCCCCTAGCCTCCAGGTGAGCCATGTCCGGCCTGGATGCTGTGGCCATGCTGCTGCCCTGAGCTGACTGTGGGCCTTGTATGAAGCTTGAACTCCAAGGAATCCAGAGAGAGGTTTCTGTGTGAGAGGTGGCCTGTTGGTGTGACATAGTGACTCATGCTCAGCTGCTCTGCAGACTGTAAAAGTGAGTGCCAGAATAGGTTGAAAGTTGCTGGCATCCCCACCTTTGAAGACAGCCAGGGAAAGCAGCAGACAGTGCCTCAGAAGTTGGTCACCTCAGCCCTGACCAGGACATGGGTTTTCTCTGTCCTGAATGTGCTCCAACACCACTGCTTCCTGCGGCATCTGACAATCCAACCCTGCCTGGGTGAAATGCTGAGCTCCCTGGAGGTCTCTGAATTCTTCCCTTAGTCTTTCAGGAAGCCTGAGGCATCTGAGGTCTTGAGTTTGAACAGTAATGTGTGCAGTGAGAAAGACACCAGAAGGTAGAGTTGACTCCAGGTGTGGCTGTGGGTGCTGAGGGGGAATTTCCAGGCTGTCCTCAGACATCTCTGTGTTGATGAGGACTACAGTGATGTCTTAAAGTGACAGAGGTTTCTGAGATTATTAGCAGCCACAGCCAAATCTGTCCTGGGAAAGTGAGGGTAAATTTGAGCAGCAGTTGAAACCGGTATATGACAGCAGAAAGAAACAGCCATGCTCACAGAGTCATAGACCACAGGAAGCAATGAGGCTACAAAGGGAAGCTGGCATGCCATGCTGAAAAGGTGTGGGGTGAGCATGTGTTTCTATCCATGCACTCATATGAGCATGAGAAGACTAAGAGAGGCCTAGATGAGCAGCTCTTAATGTAAAGAGATCTCAGGGAGGAACAGCAGGAGGAGTTGGTTCCTCCAGGCAAGGTAGAGATAAGGACTGGTTAGCACAGTGGTGACAACATCTTCCCTGTGACAGAGACAAGGCAGACATTAGATCACACAGGAAAATGCTCCTGAGGAATTAGGGGACAGGAAAGAAGCCACACTGAGAAGGGAGGAAGCTGCAGCATGAAGCCAAGAATCTGGGGCTGGGGTCCAGGACTGTTGTTTCCCAGTGCAGATGGAACCCTGGGCAGCCTGTGAGGACAGCTGCTGGTGACTGGAGAGAGGACTGGGAAGAGAGTTGAGAGGAGGTGGAGTCTTCTGAAGGAGACAGGAGGGGCGGGACTAGGAAGTGTTCTGTGGGATTGAATGGACACTGTTTATTAGAGATTTCTCAGACATGACAAGGGCACTTGCCTGAGGCACTGTATGTGGCCCTGGAATTGGAGAGTCAGAGGGGGGTTCTTTTTATCTAATAGAAGTGTGGGCTTGCATGATGAAAGTGCCCACAGAGTGGACTTTCCTGTGACCTTAATACAAAATAGGAGTTTGTTCAAAAGCCTGCCTTCCGCAAGACCTTTTTCACCACCGGCAAGAAGGCATGAAGATAGGACTTTAGTACATGCTGTCAGGAGAATGCAGGAAGTCACAAGTTCACCATGCCAGGGGTTCCACAGAGAATGGGTTTGGGAATAGGTGTGGTGATGCATGCCTTTAATGCCAGCCCTTGGGAGGCAATAGCAAGTAGTTTGCAGGCCAGCTTAGTCTTCATAGACAGTTCCAGGTCAGGTAAGGTTACTTAGTGAGACCTTACCTCAAAAATGAATGAATAAATACGTACATAAAACAGCAATAATAAAAAGAGGAAAGCTGTGTATGGAGGAAATTGTTAACTTGAACCATAAGTGCAGTGGCTGAGAAAGCACAGCCTGCACGGCAGGAGTCAGGGCAGGAAGAGTTTGCAGTCATCACCAAGGGCTGAGTTGTGTGGTTTGAGGTCATGGCCTCTGCAGAAGGCAGGGGCTGGGGACAGAAATAATAGGAAAACAATGAAAGTCATAGTGGTTAAAAGTGACAGCATGGAGTGACTTCAGGAAGATGGGTCAGGATTCTGGTCCTCGTGATTGTGAATCCCAGAAGTCTGTATCCTGGATAAACCCTGTGCCTCTGTGGAGGGCACTTTCCACAGTTTTAGTGACCTTTGTTTAGCTGAGGTCTGAAAATATCAAGTCACACATGACAGATAAAAGTGACATTGCATATTAGATTTTGACCTTTCTGCCTAATGAAATCTCTGTCCTGCCAGTCTATGCCACCTGGCACAAGAATCATCCTCTGCCCTGTGTCCACCCCTGTCCAGAGCTGAAGTACTCAGGGTCCACTCAGTGTTCAGATCCACTGTCCACACTGCACAGGGCTGAGGTGCTCAGGGTCCACTCAGTGTTCAGCTCCACTGTCCACACTGCACAGGGCTGAGGTGCTCAGGGTCCACTCAGTGTTCAGATCCACTGTCCACACTGCACAGGGCTGAGGTGCTCAGGGTCCACTCAGTGTTCAGATCCACTGTCCACACTGCATAGGGCTGAGGTGCTCAGGGTCCACTCAGTGTTCAGATCCACCGTCCACACCATGCACATCCATCTTCCTGCTCTCATCAGCTCCTGTGTCATCACTGCGAGTGTGAGTGCGGGACAGACAGCTGTGGGTGGGAGGGGCCTGCTCTGTGAAACTGTTCACGTCTTTCTGTTAAATACTTTATTTTATTATATGTGCTCTGTCAGGGTGTTTGAACCCCAGGGACAGGGGTTACCGACAATTGTGAGCTGCCATGTGGAAGCTGGGAATTGAACTGCAGCTCCCTGGAAGAGCAGCCAGTGCTCTAAACCATTACGCCACCTCTGCAGCCCCAATTGCTCACTCCTTCATGTGCCTGATTTATTAATTAAACCGGATCCTAGGAGCATCTACACAGTAACAAGTGGAATATGGGCAGCCTTCAGTGTTGGGCTGCATTCAGGCACTGCAGGGAAGGGGACAGCTGAGTTGAAGCTATGCTCTGCCTTCAAACAAAGATCATCCTAAAACACAGCTGGGGTCAGGGATGCCACATCTGGGAAGAAACACTTGGAGACTCTAGGTCCCGCATATGACTGTTTAACCCATTCATTCACATGTGGAGAACTCAGATGCCCAACCAGTTAGGCTTGGCAGTGTGAGCGCCCCCTGCAGGTGGACACAGGATCTGGTCTTAGTGGAGTATGTGTGGTGCCTGCAGGCCAGGGCATCTGCTTTAAAGAGAAATCATCTCTCCCCTGCATTCCTGAGCAGCTCAGGGTCATCAAGGAGAGTTGGGAGTTGAGACAGGAAAGAGAAAAACAACTGTGCTTATGCAGATGGTTTTCCTGGGATTACCATCTGACAGACTCTGGGCCAGGGTTCAGGGAGACAGTATTACACCCAGACTCTTTCAAGGTGGAAGGAGTCAGGACAAAGTCCCAAGTCCTCATATTGCTCTCAGGGTCTAAGAGCTGAATGTGGGGTTCCTGTTGGGAAGTTTAGGCTTTTGGTTTCACTTCCTGCTCTGTCAGTGGCTGTTAGGTTGGTCAGCCACAGTGACAGCAACCTCACAACCATAACAGGTTTCTAGAGAACCTGGTAGAAGTCTCTATGAAGACAAATTACAGAGCACAGGGCCATATAGGGCTGTGCTTGGGCTCCCCCTAACCCTTAAGATGGGGATCCCTGTGCTCTGTGCCCTCTTGCTGATGGCTGCCTCCCAAGCCCCGACCAGGACCTATGCTGGTGAGTGCAGGCTCAGGAGGGAAAAGACCTCTGTGGGGAGGGGGGGGGCGGCACCAGGAAAGCTGTGTCCCTGCATCGCCCAGCCAGACCCTCCTGCCTCTTCCCCACCGTCCTAAGCTCTGTGCCCAGCTCCCCTCCAGGCCTGAGTACCAGCCTGGGGTCCCTGGAGGAGGTCAAGGTCTCACCATGCGCCACACCCAGGCTCGCACTCGCTGCGGTATTTCTACATCATCGTTTCCCGGCCCGGCCTCGTGGAGCCCCGGTACATGGAAGTCGGCTATGTGGACGACACGCAGTTCGTGCGCTTCGACAGCGACGTGGAGAATCCGAGATATGAGCCACGGGCGCCGTGGATGGAGCAGGAGGGGCCAGAGTATTGGGAGAGGGAGACACGGGGAGCCAAAGACTGGGAACAGATTTTCCGAGTTGACCTGAGGACCCTACTAGGCTACTACAACCAGAGCGAGGGCGGTGAGTGAAGATGGAGGTTAAGACTTTCCATGTCCCTAGGTAAGGGCCTGAGTTATGCCAGGTCCCAAGTCCGAGGTCCAGGAGGAGGAGACCAGGGACCGGGAACAGTTTCCCTTTCAGGTTAGAGGATACCTGGGTGGGCGGGGCGCGAGCAGGACAGGAGGACAAGGCTGACCTAGGGTGAGCCAGGCTGACCTTGGGATCCCCGCAGGCTCTCACACCATCCAGAGTATGGTCGGCTGTCACGTGGGGTCGGACGGGCGCCTCCTCCGCGGGTACAGTCAGGATGCCTATGATGGCGATGATTACATCGCCCTGAACGAGGACCTGAGGACGTGGACTGCGGCTGACACAGCCGCACAGATCACGAGGCGCAAGTGGGAGCAGGCTGGTGTTGCAGAGCATGAAAGAGCCTACCTGGAGGACGAGTGCGTGCAGTGGCTCCGCAGATACCTGGAGAACGGGAAGGAGCAGCTGCTGCGCACAGGTGCAGGGGCTGCGGGCAACTCCTACCTCTGACCTCGGGCTTAGTTCTGAGGAAGAAGAGACCCCTCACCTGGGGGTAATGCCCCATTTTCTACTTATTTTTAATTTTTAAAATTTAGTACAGAAAAATCACACTCTAAAATTGACAAGAACAAAGGCTATACCTCTCAGTGAATATACATGGTTGGTGAAGCCATCATGAATTCGTGGAAGTTACAGTTGGATTTTACACATTCCTTTTCAAATATAATTCATGAACTTATCCAGCACCAACACGCAAAAAAAAAGGATAGAAAGAAAATCCGAGACAGATATATAACTGGAAAACAATTAACCTTATAACCTGTTTCAAAACTCAGACCTGTACTCAGACCTTTCTCATTCCCAATATTTAGCCTTTCTTGTTGTCTTTTCGTCATGCTATACTGTACACATACGTAAACTTATTTACATATCTGCATACATTGCTGAATACATATGAGGAAATACAATGTAGATTTTCTACCTGAGATTGTATGACCTCACTTAATATTGTACATGCTAAGTTCATCCAGTTTCCTGTGTAGTTTTGTAGTTACATTGTTTAGAGCCGATAAGTATTCCATTTTACCCGTGTATCAAATTTCCATTATCTACTCATCTGTTATGGATTAAATCCAATTTTTAGTGAATAACTCAACAATGATCATGGGGTGTAAATATCTCACCAGTAGGGTGTGGACTTCAGACCAGGAATAAAATAGCTGGGTCACATGGTAGTTCTATGATTAATCTTTTTAGGAAATGTCGAAAATGATTCCACAATTATTAGTTTACACACACACACACACACACACACACACACACACACACGCACACGAGTGAGTAATGGCTCCTCTCTCTCCAGCATTTGCTGTCAGATTTCTTGGTGACAGCCATTCTGACTGGGGTGAGGTGCTATCACAAAGCAGTTTAACTTTCATTTTTATTTCATTATTTTTTGGGGGATGAGTGTTTTGCCTGCACATATGCAGGTGCACCACGTGTGTACCTGGTGTCTGGGGTCAGAGAGGGTGTGCGATTCCCTGGGGCTGGAGTCATCTAACCCAAGTGCTCTGCAAAAGCATCAAGTGATCCTCACCTCTGAGCCAACTCTCCAGCCTTCAAAGTATTTAAGCTGTATTTCAAGAAGGCTAGAGATACTGAACCCAGTAAAAATATTAGTGGACATTTGTGCTTTTTCTTTTGTTAAGGTAACTGTTTATTCAGTTCTCTCGATTATTGGTTGACTGACAATGTTAGTTCCTTGGTGTTTAGTATCTGCAGTTCTCTGTAAACTGAGGGCTCTAGTCCCTTGTATGCAGTGCAGCTGGTACAGGTTTCCCCTACTGTGGCTTCTGTCCCCTCTGCTGATTGTGTCCTGTGCCCTGAAGAGACTTTATCTTCATGCTGATGTGTGACTTAATGAGCTCCTATGGTTCTGTCCTATAACTACCCCAGGGAAACCCCTGGATTGTCTTCTTGAAGTCTGGGTGTTTCAAGTCTTGAACTTAATAAGGTCTTTGCTCTATTTCAAGTTTACTGTTGTACAAGGTGAAAGGTAGGAATCTAAATTCATCTTCTCAGGTTAAAAAACAAACATTGTTGCAGTATCATGTGTAGAAGGGCTCTTTTACTAATATTTTTTTGTTGTTGAAACTCAAATATGCACAGCCTTCTCATTTCCAGGATATCTATTCTATGCCTTTGATTTTCCTGTCTATTTTATGCCAGTTCCAGGCTGCCTTTGTCATTCTAGCTTGGCAGGATAGTTTGAGTTTGGAGTGTAACCTTCCAGCAGTGTTGTTTTGTTTTGTTTTGTTTTCCAAGACAGGGTTGCTCTGTGTTATACTTCTACTGACTTTGTAGGCAACACTGGCCTGGAACTCACAGAGATGCACTTGCCTCTGCCGTACAAACCCTGGGATTAAAGGAATGCGCCACCACTGCCCAGCCTCCAGCAGAGACCTTAACCCTTAGGATTGTTGTCTGTTCATGGCCTTTTGTCCTTCCATTCAAATTCCCTTACTTTTTGCTAAAGCTATGAAATATATCACAGTTTTGTAAGTATTGCAGGATTAGATCTATAGATTAATTTGGGTAGTATGGTCATTTTCTGCAATATTAAATCTGTCACTCCAGGAGCTTCGGTTGTCTCTTCATATGATTTCCTGTATTAATATCTTGAAGTGTCATTGAAGTTCTTTCATTTCTTTGGTTAGATATATCTCTAAATGCTTTATGCTGGTGCAGCTGCTTTGATTGTTGTATATTTCCTAATTCCTTTTCTTTGAAAATTCACTGATGGCATAAATAAAGGCTACTTTTCATATTGATTTTGTATCTGGCAACCATGAGTGTTCATTAGGTCCAAAAGTTTTCCTGTGGACTCAACAGGGTCATTTACATAAAAATAATGTCTGGAAATAAGGACAGTGTGACTTCTTCCTGTCCTACTTTGATCCTTTTTATGCCAATCTTCTGTCTATTTCTGAAAGCTTATATAAAATCTTCACTGTATCAAGTACAAAGGTGGAGAGTGTACACCCTTGTCTCCTTCCTGTATTTACAGGAAGCTCTGGGTGTCTCTCCTTTAGACATAATATCCACCTGTCTTCATGTTTCTCACATATGGGATGTGGGAATTTCTATAGGGTCTCCTGATCATTTATCAGGGACTGCCTCTCCCAGGGCTTGCCCTTCTGTCAGGACAGTTCAGAGTGTGTCTCAGGAGGGAAGGAGAGAAGGTCCCTGAAATGATCAAGACAGTTCACCTTCAGTCTGCAGTGCTGTGTGGGCCATAGCCTTGCTCAGGCCCAGTTCTCTGCCCACAACTGAGGTCTCTGGAGTCTGAATTCGGTGATGCTGAACCCATCAGCCCCACTCAGCAGTCAGGAGCAGAAGTCCCTTCTTCCTGATGTGACACCAGAGTTCTGTGATCCTGGGCTCTCTCACCCATATCTAGGAATTCCCAAAGAAAGCATTATCCAGAAACCTGTGTCTAAGCTACAGGGGATTTTCACCCCTCCCTCACCCCATTTCTGATCCACACAGGGATGGTCACAGGGACCCTGCTGGAATCCCCTACAAATCACCTGACATTTCCAACTCTTCTCCTCAGACCCTCCAAAGACACATGTGACCCATCACCCCAGACCTGAAGGTAAGGTCACCCTGAGGTGCTGGGCCCTGGGGTTCTACCCTGCTGACATCACCCTGACCTGGAAGAGGGATGAGGAGGAACTGACCCAGGACATGGAGATGGTGGAGACCAGACCTGCAGGAGATGGAACCTTCCAGAAGTGGGCAGCTGTGGAGGTGCCTATTGGAGAGGAGCAGAGATACACATGCCATGTGGAGCATGAGGGTCTGCCTGAGCCCCTCACCCTGAGATGGGGTAAGGAGGGAGTGGGTGCAGAGCTGGGGTCAGGGAAAGTTGGAGTCTTCTGCAGAGCCTGAGCAGAGTCAGGGCTGAGAGCTGGGGTCATGACCCTCACCTTCCCTTCCTGTCCTTCCCTTCTCAGAGCCTCCTCAGTCCACTGTCCCCATCATGGCAGCCATTGCTGTTCTGGTTCTCCTTGGAGCTGTGATCATTGGAGTTGTGGTGGCTGTTGTGAGGAAAAGGAGGAGAAACACAGGTAAGAAAGGGCGGGGTGTGAGTACTCTCTCAGCCCCTTTTAGAAGTGTGTTCTGCTCATGGAAACACATCCACACCCCCACAGCTCCTGTCTCTAACCTGGGTCTGCTGTCAGTTCTGGAAACTTCCTAGGGTCAGGGTCATCCCTGGTCTCTCACATCTTTTCTTGTCACAGGTGGAAAAGGAGGGAACTATGCTCAGGCTCCAGGTAAGTGTGGGGAACCGGCTTGTCCCTAAAGCCTGTTGAGTGAAGCTGGTTGGGAGACCCAACAGCACATAATTCCTCCTCCATCCACATCCTCTCAGTAACCGCAATGGTCCTTGTCATTTCTTCTTCTGCAGACAGGGACAGTGCCCAGAGCTCTGACTCCTCTCTGGAGACTTGAAAAGGTGACACTCTGGGGTCCTGGGTTGGGGCTGAGGAACAAAGGAAAAGACTGGTGAAGGGACCAGACCCTCACCCAGGCCCCTGCTTTAGCAGCCATGACAGGCTGCAGAAAACTCATGGAGGCCCCTGACTCAGCACATGTTGGACTTGCTGGTCCTGCCCAGGTCACTAGGAGGTCAGATACCAATCAGAAGTTAGCTGGTAGGACTCTGGGTGTGTTTAAGGCTCTGGGCGTGCTTTATGGTAAAAGTGGTCTACCAGTGACTTGCAAAGCATAGCAACTGCCCTGGGAGGGACTATAGGCCATAACAACCAGTTGACCAATCGGCACGGGGCAGATTGCCCAGCCCAGAAGTGCACCAATCCTGAGACTGTTGCTTACCCTTAGACACTCCCCTTATACTGCCTGGCAGTTTCTCTGGGTCCTTCTCATGCCAACTGTCCTGTTGGACATACGACGGCCCCTAGTTAATGGGGTTAGCTCATTAAACAACAATAACTGACTCTTTGCTTTTGCATCGGAATGGGTCTCTTGGTGATTTTGGGGGTTCAGAATTTAAGCACAACACTGTGTCCCAGGACTTCTCAGAATTTAGACATTTGAATGAGTCACAGTGGGAGTTTGAGATGTCTTTATACTGACTGTTCATCACTCTTTATCTTTAACTTCAGACAGCTGCCTCCTGGGGAAACATTCTCACTCAAGAAACAACAAATGTGTGAAGCTGTCTGCTTTCTCCTGTGAAGAGCATCCAGCCCGGTCCTGTCCACCAGGACCCTACCCCTGCACGGCCCCTTCTATCTCCACAGTCAACCTTCCTGGTCCACCACGGGCAGGAGGAGACAACTCCATCCTGTCACCTCCATGCTTCCATGAGCTGCACACCTTGGCTTCCCCACTGAAAACAAAAATCTGGATGTGAACTTGATAGTTCATGTCCTTGACCTGAGAGATTGGCAGTTCAGATTAAAGTCGAGAATTCTGAAAGTGTGATGGAGAAAATAACTAGCAGCATGGAGAACCTTCCAGAACCTGCGTCTGCTGTGGTGACTGTCAGCGGGGACAGAAGGAGTCTGTGGGAGCTGAGTGAGATGGGGCTGGGCCTGGTGGAGCTCAGTCCATGTGGCTTTGGTGTGCTCACCCCTCAGCGATGTCTCCTTAGCTCTTTCGTCCCTGTGACTTAGTATAACCACATCTGGCAGACTCTGATCACAGGGACACAGAGATGACCAGAGCCTTGTCCTGTCCCCAGGACTATGAGCAGCCAGGACTGCTGTGACAGATTAGCCTGGGCTCTGTCATGGCTGTGGCTCTTCACCTGGTCATCTGTGTTTAATTCTTGTCTTTTCAGTTATTGTGGAGGATTGATCCCATTTTTGTTCCTGCAGATGGTGCCTTTCTCCATATCCTATGGAGTCCCTGAGTGGTGGCAGTAGGAGGTCTTTTCCATCCTTGTCCCCTCCAGGCCCAGCTAGGCCCCTGCACTCAGGAGACTACGGGCTGAGATGAGCTTAAGTCCCCTGAGCTCCTGCTCCTTCCAGAGCTGTTGCCTGGAGGTTCTCCCCCTCTCCATCTTTCAGAATCCAACTCCTGTCTGTAGGATCAGCAGAGGGGACTGGTCCACAGGTCTCTACTTGGATCAGGTCCCGTGGGGACTGTGTCCTGCTCTGCTCCACTTCACAACACGCCACACACCCTCACTCAGGAAACACGCAGGGCAGGTTCACAAGGTCGTATCTCAGGTTTCTGGCCCTGGGGGAAAACAGCCACAGGGTGGTTTTGTGTTGGATTCTTCCTCTTACACCAACACTTGTTAAAGACATTCCATCTTTGACATCTTCTCCACAGTGGAGCTCTCCAGTGGAAGGTCATGTTAGATGTAGAAGGCTCAGCGGCCGTCATGAGCTGAGTGGTACAGGGGTTCAAATTGTGTAAGTAAAAATACTTCCTCACACTAACCCCTATCTTTTTAAAAATAATTCAGTTTTTGTGCATTGGCATGAATGTGTCAGATCCCATGGAAACAGAGTTACAAACAGTTCTAAATTGCCATTTGGGTCCTGGGATTTGAACTCAGGACCTCTGGAAGAACAGTCAGTGTTCTTAACCACTGAGCCACATTTCCAGCCCCCCTTTCTTGTTTTTTTAATAGAGTTTTAACATTATAACTTTTCTCTTGGAGAGAAAGGCTTCAGGGCTTAAATTTGCACTGATTTTAAGTATAAAACTCAGGTTTATCTTCTGCCCATAAATACGGAGATGAAAGCTGGTGGCCTCTCTCATTTCAATCGTTCTGTAGGGACACTAGTGTTTGCAGTGAGGTCTCTCTGCCAGTTAAGTTACTGGTGAAGTAGGTGATCAGCAGACATTCTGGGAAACTGAAGAGTCTTGGTTCTGAGCAGTCACAAGCAGTTGGTTCTGGCATCAGTTCTTGAGGCACTTAATGACAAGAGCAGCCTCAGCCTCCCTGTAAATTCTGCTCTGTGATGGGGGACGATCTTCTGTATATGTGTTTCTCTTATTGGCTGGTGAATAAAGCACTGACTGACCAATAGAGGCAGGAAGATAAGTGGAACTAGGAGTCGAGGAGAATTCTGGGAACAGTAGGCAGAGAAGGACCACAGAGGGATGCCATGTAGAGAAAAAACTAACTAAGCAAAATAACAAAAAGAAACAAAGATACAAAGAAAGACAAAAGAAAATATATTTTAGAGCTTTTTTCAGTGCACCCCTTAAGTGCTCAAGTGACCATTCTAGGAAGAGAGAATTGGGGTGAGGGAAGGATGGAAAAATCACACTCACTTATCTGGTACAATGCGCATTTTGGAAAGTTGTATAAGTTGGGGAACCAGCATAGGGTAGGGGCGTCCACGTCTCCCATCAGGTAAAGGAGACTGTGCTCCTGGTGTGTAAGGCTGACACACTCAGACTCTGGGTCTGGGCAGAGAACCCAGCCTGGGAGAGGCCGTGGCTGACCAGGTCTGCAGACTGAAGGAGCCACGGCTGGGGATGTGAGTGTCTTCTCTCCTCCCTCCTGAGACAGATCTGGAACCTTCCAGGGAGAAGGCTGAGTCCTGGGAGATCAGTGCAGTCCCTGCCAGGCTGGATCAGGAGCCCCAGGGACACTGTGTCCCTCAGAGACAGGGGCGGGACCCCAGCTGAGGTCTCTTCTTCCTCAGGACTGAGCCCTGGAGTTGCCCTGGGCGCCTGAACCTGTGCTCAGCAGCTGGTCCTTCCCGTTCTCCAGGTATCTGCTGAGCAATGGCAGGCATATGTGTTCCAGGTAGGTCTTCCATGTTTACGCCTCACCAGCCTGCTCCCACTTGCCCCGGGTGATCTGCACTGCTGTATCCACCGCTGTCTGCGTCCTCAGGTGTCATTCAGGGAGATGAAATCGTCGCCTTTGTAGGCGAACTGTTGATACCCGCGAACAAGGGGCCCATCCAACACCGAATGACAGCTGTCCATTCACTGGAAGGTGTGAGAGTCTGCAGGGACCCAGGGGTCCGCCCCGCCCACCCTCGTCCCGCGGCCCCGACAATCGGGCCATCATTTGAATCCAATGGGAAAAGAGCAGATCTGTGATGAGGGAGACCAGCTCCACCTGCAGGTCACTAGTGGGATGACAGTCAGAAGTTTTCAGTGTTATGTTTGATTAAATTTTGTCTTTGCAGATTTCAGTTTACCTTGTTATGGTGGGATTTCTTAAATCTTCCACACAGATCCCCCAAAGGCACATGTGACCCATCATCCTGGACATAATGGTGATGTCACCCTGAGGTGCTGGGCCCTGGGCTTCTACCCTGCTGACATCACCCTAACCTGGCAGAGGGAGGAGGAGGAACAGACTCAGGACATGGAGCTGGTGGAGACCAGACCTTCTGGGGATGGAACCTTCCAGAAGTGGGCATCTCTGGTAAGCATCTCTTGTGCTTACACTGAGACTCCTAGTGTTTCTTCCCAGATGACCGTCTGTGGTTCCAGGTGGTTGTGTTTTACACGGATCTTCTCTCCATAGTCCTCAGATTGTCTCTGTGGACCTGGGTCATCGTCTCAGCACAGTGGACCCCTTCCCCACTGGGACAAAGATCTGGGGGAGACAGAATACAGTATCACAGCGATCCCTGTCTACACTGCACATTTCCCCGTGTGCACACACTCCAGGGTACTTCCATGGTTATTTACTGAATAAACCCCAGTAAGAGAGGAACTGTAACTAAATGTAACTATCCAGACTTATGAGACCCTGGACCTGGTAACCGTGGCTCCTGGGTTCCTCAGCTTGTGCAGTGTGGACACTGGACGGAGGATGATTCTCACCGCAGAGATACACACTGGGGATTCTAGGTTTCATCCCTGTTCAGTAGTGTGGAGAAAAATCAAATTTATAATTTTTTTGTTTCTGTGGATTGTGACTGATGTCTCCCAACCCCAGCCACTCATAACTGAAATAGAAAGTGAAAGCAGAGGAGGATAGAGAGTCCTTCCTGCACGGAGTCAGGCATGACACAGTGTGTCCAAAGGGCTTGACCAGAGCTGTGAAAACTCCAGTCACCTCCCATGCGGGTGTCCGCGGCGGCCCCACGCACTCACCAGGACTGTGACAGCGTCTGTTTCCCTGAACATTCATTTTAACGCTACCTGTGTTTCACCCGCAAACGTCATGTTCTTAGGTTTCATCCTGACGCGAGGAGCAGGTGGCCTTGGGCGGCCCATAGACCCCGGGACAAACGCCCTTTGCCCCCAGCTCAGGGTCAGACAAAGTCTTGGTCCCGGGCGGTGAGGTCCGGGTGGAGAAGCCCAGCGCTGGGGATTCCCCTGTCCCCAGTTTCACTTCTCCAGCTCCTGACCTGTGTCAGTTCCTTCTGCCCGGACACTGATGACGACGCGGGGGTTCACACCCTCATTGGCTGTCGCGATCCCGGGGAACCAATCAGCGACGCCACGGACACCGGGTATAAAGTCCAAGCGGGGAACCTGGACGCCCAGATCCGAGATGGGGGCGATGGTGCCACGCATGCTGCTCCTGCTGCTGGCGGCCGCCCTGGCCCCGACCCAGACCCGCGCGGGTGAGTGCGGGGTCGGGAGGGAAACGGCGTCTGCGGGGAGGGCGGGGGCGGCACCGAGAAAGCCGCGTCCCCGAATCGCCCGGCCAGACCCTCCCGCCCCTTCCCCTCCCGCCCTGCTCCCCACCCGGCAGCGCACCTGCCTGAGGTCCCGGGAGGAGGTCGGGGTCTCACCAGGCGCCGCCCCCAGGCTCGCACTCCATGCGGTATTTCTTCACCATTGCGTCCCGGCCCGGCCTCGGGGAGCCCCGGTTCATCATCGTCGGCTACGTGGACGACATGCAGTTCGTGCGCTTCGACAGCGACGCGGAGAATCCGAGGATGGAGCCGCGGGCGCCGTGGATGCAGCGGGAGGAGCCGGATTATTGGGAGAGGGAGACACTGAAAGCCAAGGGCACTGAGCAGACTTTCAGAGTGAACCTGAGGACCGCGCTTGGCTACTACAACCAGAGCGAGGGCAGTGAGTGACCCCGGGTCCCAAGTCGGCGGTCCGGGAGGAGGAAACCGGGACCAGGACCGGGTTTCCCTTTGGTTTAGGGGATCCGCGGGTGTGCGGGGCTGACCGCGAGGTCCTCCCCCCACCCCCAGGCTCTCACACCTTTCAGCACATGTACGGCTGTCACGTGGGGCCGGATGGGCGCCTCCTCCGCGGGTACCTTCAGTATGCCTATGATGGCAAAGATTACCTCGCCCTGAACGAGGACCTGAGGACGTGGGCGGCGGCGGACGCGGCGGCGCAGATCACCCGGCGCAAGTGGGACCTGGCTGGTGATGCAGACAGTTACAGGGCCTACCTGGAGGGCGCATGCTTGCAGTGGCTCAGCAGATACCTGGAGCACGGGAAGGAGCAGCTGCTGCTCAAAGGTACAGGGGTCACAGGCAACTCCTCCCTCTGCCCTTGGGCTGGGCTCAGTACTGAGGAAGAAGAGACCTCAGCTGGGGTCCCGCCCCTGTCTCTGAGGGACACAGTGTCCCTGGGACTCCTGATCCAGCCTGGCAGGGACTGCACTGATCTCCCAGGGCTCAGCCTTCTCCCTGGAAGGTTCCAGATCTGTCTCAGGAGGGAGGAGAGAAGATGCCAACATCCCCAGCAATGGCTCCTTCAGTCTGCAGCCCTGGGTCAGCCATGGCCTCTCCCGGGCCGGGTTCTCTGCCCTGACCCAGTGTCTGAGTGTGTCAGCCTTGCACACCGGGAGCACAGTCTCCTTTACCTGATGGGAGAGGAGGACGCCCTGCCCTAGGCTGGCTCCCCAGTTTTAGAACTTTCCAAAGAATACATTCTCCCAGATTCCTGTCTGTGAGGTTTGCATCCCTACCTCACCCCAATTCTATCTCTTCCTAGAATGGTTACATGAGCTCTTAAGGAGTACCCTGAAATAAACTTTAAATTTTGCCCTTTTTTTTTAATGATTGGTGGGGTCTTTTCTTTTATATTTCTTTTCTTAAGTTGTCATTTTCTTTAGTCAGTTTTTTTTTCTTCCTTGCTGGGATGATACTACTTCGACCTCCATTTTTATTATCATCTGTATTAGTGTGCACAGGTGTCATGGGGAACTACCAATTGGATAATTAGACAAGTCAGCGTTCCCTTTAAAGGAAAGAGTCCCATGAGCTCAGACTATTTTCTACCAGAATTAGCTATGCAAACCCACACTAAGCTCCCTCAGCCCCAACAAGTTACAGTGTTGCCCCAGTGAATTAGGAGGTGAGCTTCCTCAGAGACAGGTTCTTCTGCAACTGCAGGACTGGAGTGACAGGGAAAATCCACACACCCCTGTGAGCACCGCTGTGTCCTAGAGAGAGCTGCACTGGGCTCCACAGCAACTTCCAGGGATCTTGGGTGACAACACCTTGTATCTTGTCCCCCAGAGGTAGAACGGGGAAGTCATTTTCTCACCCCATTTCTGCTGCACTCTTTGGTGATGGCTCTTCACTTGGACAGACAGTTATGCTGCTCAGCAAAATGGCCACAGTGGTTGTGATTCAATGGCGGCAGCAGGAGTTGGTGGTGCCCTTTATATAGCCTGTGCCCATAATTTCTTATTTTGATATGAATTTAATCACATATATAAATTAATTATTTTCCATCCCTTCTTCCATTCTTTTCCCACCTAACTTATGCTGTAGAACATCACATAAGGAAGACCATGTGACCTGCTGGGTCATGTGATTCCCTCTTAGCTTCTGGGTTCCCCAGGAAAGTGTGCAGATCTGTGATGAGGGGGACCAGCTCCACCTGCAGGTCACTAGTGGGAAGACAGTCAGAAGTGTTCAGACACATAGTTCAGTGTCATCATTGATTAAATTTTGCAGATTTCAGTTTATGTTGTTATTGTGTGATTTCTTAAATCTTCCACACAGATCCCCCAAAGGCACATGTGACCCATCATCCTGGATCTAAAGGTGATGTCACCCTGAGGTGCTGGGCCCTGGGCTTCTACCCTGCGGACATCACCCTGACCTGGCAGAAGGAGGAGGAGGAACAGACCCAAGACATGGAGCTGGTGGAGACCAGACCTTCTGGGGATGGAAGCTTCCAGAAGTGGGCATCTCTGGTTGTGCCTTCTGGGGAGGAGCAGAAATACACATGCCATGTGCACCATGAGGGGCTGCCTCAGCCCCTCACCCTGAGATGGGGTAAGGAGGGAGTGGGTGCAGAGCTGGGGTCAGGGAAAGATGGAGCCTTCTGCAGAGCCTGAGCAGAGTCAGGGCTGAGAGCTGGAGTCATGACCCTCACCTTCCCTTCCTGTCCTTCCCTTCCCAGAGCCTTCTCAGTCCACTGTCCCCATCATGGCAGTCATTGCTGTTCTCGTTCTTCTTGGAGCTGTGTTCATTGCAGCTGTGGTGGCTGTTGTGAAGAAGAGGAGGAGAAAACAGGTAGGAAAGGTTGGGGTCTCAGTTCCCACTCAGCCCCTTTTAGAAGTGTGCTCTGCTCATGGCAACATCCACACCCCCACAGCTCCTGTCTCTAACCTGGGTCTGGTGTCAGTTCTGGAAAATTCTTAGGGTTAGGTTCCTCCCTGGTCTTTCACAGCTTTTCTGCTCACAGGTAGAAGAGGAGGGAACTATGTTCCAGATACAGGCAAGTGTAGGGAGCAGGATTGTCCCTGAACCCTTGGGGTGGACCTGGAATATTTGCAGAGCTCTGCCACCAATATTAGCTCCTCCAGCAAAATCTTCCAGGGGCCATGTTTTTACCTTCCAATGCCTGTGTGTGTGTGTGTGTGTGTGTGTGTGTGTGTGTGTGTGTGTGTGTGTGTGTATTCAGTGACAGTTACCAGAGCTCAGATATGTGTCTCCCAGACTGAAGGGGACACACTGGTATCTAATTGCGGGTGGCAAAGCAGACATGTTTGTGTCTCAGAGACTCCCAGAATTTCCTGTGAGTGAGTGGTGGGTTGTTGGGATGTTGTCTTCATAGTGATTATTCATGACTCTTGTTCTGTAGCATGAAGACACCTGACTTGTGTGGACAGAATGACAGACAGTGTGTTCAGGCCTCTACTGTGACATCCAGGGCCCCTAGGTTAACTTTTAGCAACAGTGTCTGATGTTCCCTGTGATCCTATGGGCTGAATATCAAGAACTGGGAGCCCTGCACACCAGAACCCTGTCCCTGCACTGCCTGTGTTCCCTTCCACAGCCAACCCTCCTGTTCCAGCAGACAGGAGGGGGCACATTATCCTGTTACATCCTCCTGCTCTGAGCTTCAGGTCCTAAGTTCCCCACTGAATATAAGGATCTTAATTTGAATTTGATTTGTCATATCCTTGAGCTGACAGGTTGATAGGCTGTTAAATGTATTATTGAGATATTTAGAATTTGAGGAGGAAGTGAATGGCAGTGTAGAGAAGCTCCCAGAAATGTGCTCATCATGTTCTGTGTCTCTGGTGTCACAGGATGAGGCTGTGGGAGCTGAGTGAGAGCAGGGCTGTGCCTGGGTGGAGCTCAATTTGATATTCGCTGTGACATGGTCACTCCTCAGCTCTGTCACCTCCTGGCTCTGTTCTCCTCATCACTTAGAACCACATGATGAGGTCTGTGATCACAGGGACACAGGGATGGCCAGAGTCCTGTCCTGTCCCAGGAATGTGAGCAGCCAGGACTGGTGGGACAGGTCAGCCTGGGCTCTAACCTGGCTGTAGCTCTTTACCCCGTATTTGCTGTTTATTGTTGTCTTTTTACTTTTTATGGAGCACTGGGCCTATTCTTGTTCCTGTGGGTGGTGCCTGCCTCCTTATCCCTTGTGCCCCCTGAGTGACAGCATTAAAATGTGTTTATCCTTCCTTTCCCATTAGGACCCTTCTAGGCTCCCGCACTCAGGAGACTATGACCTGAGAACACTGAACTTCAGTCTCCTGAGCTCCTGCCTCCTTCCAGGCCCCTCACTGGAGGTTCTCTCCTTCTTTCCGTCATTGAAAATTTAAGCAGCGTTGTAGCGTGGCAGAGAGGAGGGATCCACAGGGTCTCAGATCTCTCCTGTTGGATCTGTGCTCTGCCTTAGGTCCTCTCTCCCTCACTGGCTCTGGGAATCTTGGTGCTGCCTCCAGTGGTGATTCCAGGCTTAGTGTACTTTAAATTGGTGTTTATTTAAAAGACATGATCCCTTTTGTCTTGTTGACTGTGTCCTTTGCCTTACAGACACTTCTCTGTTTCAGGAGATCCCATTTATTAATTATTGATCTCAGTGTCTGTGCTACTGGTGTTATGTTC